TTTTTTTTTTTTTTTTTTTGGTACGGGGGATTGAACTCAGGTCCTTGTGCTTGCAAGGCAAGCGGCAGAACCACTGAGCTAAATCCCTGGCCTTTTTTATGTATATTTTTGCAGATTATCTATCTATCGACTATATTGTTGTTTATTTGTTTCAGTGTTGGAAATCAAACCTAGGGCCTTGTGTATGCTAGGCAAGTGCGCTTATCACTGAGCTACATCCTAGCCCTGTTCATGTGGTTTTTTGTTGTTGTTTTTGGTACAGGGATTAAACTGGGGACCTTGGGCTTGTGAAGCAGGCTGCAGAACAACTGAGCTAAATCCCTGGCTCCCTGTTAATGTTTTTCTTTGGGGGGGGTTGAGATAGGGCCTCACTATGTAGTTGAGACCGATCTGGAACTCACTGTGTAGCTCAGGCTGGTCTCAAACTCACAGTGATCCTCCTGCCTCAGCCTCCCGAGTGCTGGGATTGCAGGCTTGTGCCACCACACCCGGCCTCTGTTCATGTTTTTTAACTAATTTACTGATGCCATAAGTTTTTTCTATATCAGTAAAATTAATTACAACAAAGCATTTATTGTACAATAATAACATATTGTGTGGGGTATGATCTGTTTAAGACCGTATGGAATATTTAATTTATTAGTAATTGCAGTCTGTTATAAGCATGCCAGGATTTATACTCTCATACCCAAATCATTGTGCATATCTTTATTTTCTTGAGAAAACAAGGAGAATTATTAGACAAAGAGTATGTATGTTGTTTAGCCTTCCTCCTCCTGTCCTCTGGTTTTGAAATCTTTAACGTGAGGCTTGGGAATTAATGGGAATCTATCATTTCAGCATGTAGGTCTGAAGAAGACTATTTCTCACTCTGACATTGATATTTCTCAGATGTTAAAGATTCAAATGCAGGGCACCTGATTGGTGATTTCTCCAAGGTGAGTTTGACTATACTCATCCTATATTTTGTTCATTCATTCATTTCTTCATTTGTTTGTTTATTAATTTATATTTTGCAGTGCTGGAGATCAAACCCAGAGTCTTGTACATAGTAGGTAACCATTCTAACACTGAACTATATCCCCAGACCTTTTTCTTTTCTTTCTTTTTTTTTTAATTATTTTGAGACAAGGTCTTGCTTTGCCCAGGCTGGCCTTGAACTTGCAATCCTCCTGCCTCAGCCTCCCATGTAAACTGACATTACAGACATGAACCACCATGCCTGGCTTCATCTCATTCATTCATCTGTCTTTCTATCTATCTATCTATCTATCTATCTGTCTGTCTGTCTGTCTGTCTATCTATCTATCTAAGACAGGGTCTCACTATGTAGTTCAGGCTGGCATTGAGCTTACTATGTAGCCCAGGATGGCCTTAAACTCTTGGAGATCTTCCTTCCTCAGCCTCCCCCATGTTGTGTTTATAGGCATGTGCCACCACATCTAGCAATCTCATCATTTTAAGTAACTATATTATTTGATAATTTGGGAGCTGCTCGTAATTTCTTCATAAGGCTTATGATTTTATAATTTTAATCTCATTTTATAATTTTTCCTTATGAACAAAATGGACCTATGTGTAGAGATATCTAAAACCTTACACTATCCTCACTTAATTCCTTAGGATCAGTGTTTAGAAACAGAGTTGCTGTATATGTATATCACCGAGACCACTGATTTTTGAAAGCTTCTGGGATTTGAAGCGTCATTTGGAAAGAATGACAGTAAATGGCCTTTGATCTCAAGCTTGGGTGGGGAATTCTTGCTATTGTTTCAGCTCCTGGGTATTTCTAGGTATGTGCACTGCCAGCCGTACCGGGGAGACACCAAGATCTGAAGTACGTCAACCCAGAGGCAGTAAGCAGATTCCTGGAGATGGTAGCTGGTACATCGGCTCCCATCTGGTCTGCTCCGTCCCTGAAATCCCTGCTGCCATTTATATTTCTTTCACAGCATTCGCTCATGCAGGCTTCTCATGCAGGCTGTTTTAAAGGTCTTCATTTCATCTGTGTTTCTGTCTCTTTAAATTTTTAAACAAATGATATATATTTGTTGTAAAAAGAGAAGAAAGAAGGAAGGAGGGAAGAAGTGAAGGGATGATGCAAAAACATGAAAAGAAAAATCACTCAACTAGGGTCCCAGTTAGGGTTACGATAAATTCCGGTTTACGTGTCACAGTCTCCTTTATACCTGTTAGTGAGGGTAATTATTAATCAGGTTCTCTTTCACTCTCAAAAGTCTTCCCATTTGTACAGTAATTGGGTGGTAGCCTTACCCACCAGAGATAACCATGAGTGATGTTTTCCTTGTGGCCTTGCAGATTTTATTCTAACATACAGTTTTGTAAAACTGCAATCATGAGGAACGTGTAGTCTTACAATTAAATTATTAAAATATTGTAAGCCCCAGTGTCCCCCCAGTTCTATATCAATAAAAATACATCCACCTTGTCCTTCTGTTTTTTTGAGAAAGGGCTTCATTGGCCCAGGCTGGTCTTGAACTTACTATGTTGAATTCATGCCCACTTACACTATCATTTTAATGGTCATATATTATTCTGTTGTGCTGACATGTATAATTTATTTACTTAAACTCCTCTCATTAAATATTTACTTAAATAATCTAAAACAGTGCTGAGACAAATGTCAGATTGTACCCACATCATTGTATTATTAAGTGTACTGTCCCTTAGATATTAGAAAAGAAATTGTGAGTCGAAGTATACTTACTTTGGTGGCTTTGCTTTTATGGTACTAGAGATTGAACCCTGAGCCTTCATGCTGAGCCAAATCTCCAGCCCCTTCTTAGAATTTTTTAAAATTTTGAAACAGGATCTCACTAAGTTGCCCAAGCTGGATCCAGCTGTAATTTCTTTTTTGTTTTTTAAATAGGGTCTCAAGTGTAGCTCAAGCAGGCCTTAAACTGATAGCAATGCTCCTGCCTCAGCCTCCCTAGTACTGGGATTATGGGCATGTGCCATGATGCCCAGCTGTAAATTTATTTTTATGTGTTATAAAGTTCCTTCCAGAAAGCCTGAACCAATTTAGACTTCTACAAGTAGATTAAATTTCTTTCTGTAGCTGTCAACTCTTCCCTTCCATATCCTTCTTTGAAAAATTTACTTTTTTGTCCGTGTGTGTGTGTGTGTGTGTGTGTGCGCGTGCGTGCGTGTGCGTGCGTGCACGTGTGTGTGTGTGTTACTGAGGATTAAACCCAGGGCCTCTTCTTGTTTGTTTTTGAGACAGGGCCTTAGCGCTGAGCTACATTCTTAGCCCTTTATTTCTATTTATTCATGTATGTATTTTGGAATTTTTGAGATAAGGTCTCACTCTGTAATTCAGGCTGGCCTCGAATTCTTGGTGATGCTCCTGCCTCTGCCTCCCAAGTGTAGAGATTATAGGCGCACATTCACCCATGCCTGGCTCATACTTAGCCCTTTTTAAAAAAAAAATTTTTTTTTTGAGAGAGAGGATCTCCCTAAGTCCTAAATTTCCCAGCCTACGCTCAAACTTGTGATCCCCTGTCTCATGCTCCCAGAAGGCTGGGATTGCAGGCATGTACCGTCACACCTGGCAAGACTTGTTTTTTAAGTTTATATCTACCTTATGTGTCTGCCTGCCTATCTGCCTATATCTGCCTATCTCTCTATCAGTCAGTCTAAGCCTGGGATCAAACCCAGTTCTTTGTTCTTACTTTTTTTTTTGTAATGGAGGGTAGAGACCCATTTCTCATCTCTTGTAAGATTGGGATCGCTACCTCTCCCCCTGGGCATGTCTGTGATGTCTCCCGGGAGCTGATTTCAGCCGTGCCTGCCTCTAGAGGGGTAGCCCTCAAAGAGGCCTTCCTTGTCTTTGCAATACCAGCCATTTGGGTTTTCACTTTTTTCTTTTTTTGGTGCCGGGGATCGAACTCGGGTCCTTGCACTTGCGAGGCAGGCGGTGGCACCACTGAGCTACATCCCCAGTACGAGCCATTTGGGTTCTCTACAAATGTCACTTCCGCTTCCGCTTCATCCGCTTCTGTGGGGTGGAGCTGAGCCAATGCCACATTTAAATGCAGGTGGACTTTGGATGCTGTGGGTAGAGGGGCATCCTGTGTGACTAACCTTTCTCTCTCTCAGTGATAGTGAGCAGAGAATGCAGTCATTGTTTCTGTGCAGGTGGCTGCCTTACCGTCTGGAGAGTTCCAGGATCTGATTGAGGAGTTTTGTATCATTGATTGCCGCTACCCATATGAGTACCTGGGAGGACACATCCAGGTGAGGCTCAAGCCGGGGAGGGGCTTGAGATGGGTCTTTGTTGAGAAGAGTTGGGCTAAAATGTCCTGGGAAGCCTGGAACCAGGTCAGAGGTTCTACATTTGGAGCACATCAAGGCCGAAGTCCTTATTCCCGTTTAAATTCTGTATGCCTTGAATAGCATAGTTTCCCTTCCCCTCCTTGACCAGTCTTCTTTTCCATAGGAGCCAAGTGCTCCTCCCTGGAAATCCAAACATTAATCCAAGGACTGAGAAGCAATCTGCGAGCACTGCTCATGGACACTGCTCGCGATGATGCCCTCATTCCACGAGGTTCAACTCTATGAATGTTTATTAGAGTGTTAGGTACCAAGCTAGGTTAGGCCCTGGGGGTAGATACAGAGCTACATTGGGTCTTGCCTTGAAAATCCTTTTCAGTTTTGCTGGCCTAAATGTCCCAGGATAGTATCCTAATCATTTCTAAGTGCAGTAGTTCCCTGTCTTACAAACCAGTTCTGTTCTGGGAGTATCTGACAAAATGAGCCTTGTACAGTACCCCTGTGACTCTGATACAGTGCCCCTGTGAAAGTGTGCAACCCAAATTTCACAAGTCAGGGACTTACTGTATTCACATTATACACAGGGGCCTTCAGAGAATGCTTATTAAAATTATTCTTCTGGGCCAGGGATTTAGCTTAGTGGTTCTGGCGCCTGCTTCACAAGTGCAAGGACCTGAGTTCAATCCCCAGTACCAAAAACAAAACAAAACAAACAAAAAAATTATTCTTCTGCAGGGAGCCTTAAACTTGTATAGTCAGAAAGAATTATATGACTTCTTTCTGAAGAGGCCTATTATTCCCTTGGACATCCAGAAAAGAATAATCATCGTGTTCCACTGTGAATTCTCCTCTGAGAGGGGCCCCCGAATGTGAGTGTCCACATGGGCTTGGTTGGGTATTGGAAATGGCAGAAATGGAGCCCTCCCCTACTCCCCGTACTGGAGATCGAACTCAGCACCTTGTGTTTGCCAGGCAGGCTCAGCACCACTGAGCTACATTCCTGGCCTCTTCTTATTTGTTTTTGAGACAGGATCTTGCTGCGTAGTTCAGGCTGGCTTGAACTCCCAGTGATCCTCCTGTTTCAGCCTCCCAAGTGTTGGCATTACAGGTGTGGGCCACCACGCCTGGTGGAAATGGATCTTAAATCGGAGATCATACGACACGGAATGCACTCTGCTATAATTTGAAGAACGTTAGGAAGGATGACGGAAGGTATTTTTATAATTCAAATGCTTAGAACAGTAAAGGAAAAAGAATTGGGAACAAAGTTGCAGTGGAGGAAAGGAGAAGGGGGTGCTCTTGGGGCCTTACTTGGCACACACAGTGAAATTGAAGGCTCCCACTCCTGCAGTGCTACCACTGGGCTCCTCTCCATGCCCAGGGCCCTTGTGGGCATGACTAGTATTCTGTTCTCCCCTCTTCCCCAGGAAGCTTGGGTTCCTGATCTTGCTTCCTTCTGCCCACTCATCCCTGGGTTTTCTCTGAAGGTGCCGCTCTCTGAGAGAAGAGGACAGGGTTCTGAACCAGTACCCTGCCTTGTACTATCCAGAGCTGTATGTCCTCCAAGGGGGCTACAGAGACTTCTTTCTGGAATATAAGGTAAAGCGTGGGGCACGGGAGAACCTAGACTTAGTGGAGCCTCAGCGTGGCTGTTGTATTTAACAGACAGAGCTCTGGAGCCAAAGGGTCCCTTCCTCTGTCCTCTACCTCTCAGGAGCTGTGTGAACCTCAGAGCTACTGTCCTGTGCATCATCAGGACCACCAGGCTGAGCTGCTGAGGTGTCAAAGCTAGAGCGAAGCGCAGGAGCAGATCGTCCTCCTGGTGAAGGACATGGTCTCACCGAAGTGGGCCTGGCCCCTGGCGGCCAGGGTATCATTGACAGACACCACAGAGACCCTGAGCAGAAAAGAGGCCATCTTCTCTACGGCTGAACCCAAGATTGTTTTTTAAAAGATGTCTGCATACCTCAGCTTTTGTGAGGCTGAGACAGGAAGATTACTGCGAACCTGAGACCCTGTCTCAAAAAAATGAAAGAAAGAAGCATAGATAGATCTCTGTAATCCAACAGGCTACTACACTGATGAAATCCTGGGACTCGGATTGGTTAGGTTATGGTAGAGGTGCCAGCTGGTGGCTGAATCTGGAGGACACTTTTAGGCGACCTATACCCCAGCTCTGAAAGGCTGTCACCTTGACTTACATAGAGATTTGTGTTGCTTCAGGGAACTCTTACATTGCTCCTCTCAACTTCCTGTGTCTTCTCACAAGCGAGGCAGGTCTCTCTCTCTGGGCTTCTGCTTGTCGGAAAGAGTTGCCCAGCTTCTTACTCTGTTTTCCTTTTTATGGGAAAGTAAGCGTTGCACAACAAGAAGTGCAATTGCCAGCCGGTTTGCTCCTCGAAGAGCTGTATATTGAGGCAATCACCAAGTTAGACTCCTTTCCGGGGCTGTGGTAGAGCTCAGTGTAGAGCTCTTGCTTACCTAGCATTCATGAGTTCCTGGGTTCCATCCCTGGCACCACCGCCCCAGAGCGCAGGACTTGGAAGGGACAAAACATTCTGAAACCCAGAAATAGAAGAGGCAAAAATAACATCTTCCCAGGTTTTAAATCAGCGGGTGGGAAAAAAGGCTGCAGGCACAGGGCAGCTGACACCCACTGTTTGAGCAACACCACACCTGGTCTGCTGGACTGGCTTTTCAAGGTTCTCATGTGGTCTTGCCCTGAAGTGCTTTGCACAGGCCTCACAGCAGAGGGCGCTGCAGTATTCTCCGAGATCTCCCGCCGGCACCAGCAACCTGGTTCCTGGATGCTGCCTCCCTGGCCAGCTCTCTAATCAGCATAGCCAGGCGTTCAGAGGGCGGGGGAGCTGTGGCCACAGAAGTCAGAGCAGGCTGTGGGGGGAAAGCTCCGCTCCACTAGCATGTGTGTCCCCTGTCCCCACAAGCAGGAGTTAGGAGTAGCCTCTGGGTGAACCGCAAGAAGTCCAAGACCCACTGCCTTCTCCAGTGGGTTGTAATTCTCCCCAGAGAGGTGGAACGCAGGCCTGACCTAGTAGGAGATTGTGTCCAGGTTCTCATATTTCAGTTATCTTAAGTGGAAACAGTTCTATAACAAAAAGCAGATTTATTTACTTTGTGAAAAGTTGTATTTGCCTAAAAGGCAAAGTTTCCCCATGTTATTTCTTGTAATCTTTATTTTCAAGGGGGCCCTGGGGGTTTAATCCAAAATTTCCCACTATACTAAGCCGGCGCTATTGCTGAGCTACATCCCCAGCCCTCCCATGTGATATTTTATGATACCGTCTCACTGTATATGTGATTTGATTTATGTTATTTTCAAGAATAATAATAGTAACGCTTCTTGGTATTGAGTGCATATAAGACTTTCTAAACTAATCATATATTGATTTTCACAAAAAAACCTCATGGTAGATATTTATTACTATGTACATTTCTTTATAAGGGTAATGAAATTGAGGAACAAAGTTTTTAAGTGCTGTAAGACTACACATGTAGCCAGGCATTGTGGCCTACAAAGTACAATGTTCCTGGAACCAAACATAGTGGTACACCCTGTAATCCCAGTACTCGGGAGGCTGAGGCAGGAGGGTTGCCACAAGTTCAAGGACAGCCTTAGCTGTAGTTCAAGGCTAGCCTTAAATACACAGTGAGACCCTGTCTTAAAAAAACAACAAAAGCCAGTATCCCTTTCTAGAGTTGTCAATGTATTGGATGTTAAGTCTTTTCATACCTTTTTTTTTTTTTTCATACAGTCTTACTAAGTTGCTAAGTTTCCCAGGCTGAGCTTGAACTTGTGATCCCCCTGCCTCAGCCACTACTACTGAGCCAGAGACTTTAGCCAGGATAACATGCCCATCACATCTGGCTAATTGTGAGTTTGAGAAGTCAGGAGCATAAAGTTTGCTTGGGCTTGGAAGATAAGGTCAGAGACACTAGTGTATGACTCTGAGGAGGTTCTCATTGGTGCCCTTGAATGGACTGGTAGATATCATGAGGTCAAATAATGAGCAGAAATTTTGCTGGATGGACATGGTGGCACATCCCTGTAATTCAGCACTCAGGAGGCTGAGGCAGGAGGATTGTTGGGAGTTTGAAGCCACGCTGGGCTACATAGTGAGACCCTGCCTCAAAAAAAACAAAAAAGAAAACCCAAAACTGACATGGCTCAGTGCTTGCCTAGACAGTTGATCCTCAGTACAAAACAACAACAAAACATATATACAAAAAACTAGTTTTCAATCTCAGCCCAGTACCTAGCTGACCTTATCAGGAATATATAGCAGGAGACACAGACATTCTGCCCCTGTTCTATGTGGACAAATATTAAGTAAATGCTTATTCTCTGTGTGCGCGCGCATGTGTGTGTATGTGTGTGTATATATGAGGTTTTGAATTCTAAGTCACTTCAGGTATTCAGATGTGACACAACTGCTGCCCTTAAAACACTGACAAGGTGGAAAGAGGCTCCTGTATTCCCATCCTTACAAGCACTCTGGCCCACTACTATTCAGCCAAGATTCAGCAAAGGGAACTTCCAGCCCCAAATTAGCAGGTCAATTGGTGGAGTGTGGCCAAGTTCATAGAACAATCCCTACATTCCGCCTGAGATGTTAGCATTTGTCCAGCATTTGTTATGTTGCAGGCACTGTGTTAAACAGTATACCCAATATATACTTATTTATTCTTACAACTATTACGTGAAACAGATACTGTTATCCCTAATCTTACAGCTGAAGAACTAGAAGACCAGAGCAATTAAGTGACTTACTTGGAGTTGCCCAGGAAGGGTTGGAGATGCTACTGAATCCAGGTAATATGAAAAGCTTGTGTTCCTAGCTACTCACTATTTTGCTGTCATCCTAGTTAGAAGCAGCAGGAATTAAGGCTCAATAGGAAGAAAGCACCTGAGAGAAGGCACAATCCATATATCATGACCATAAGTAGAAGAAAAACATTGCAAATGAGAGTACAGTGAGACACAGGGACTTTGGACCCAGGAGCCCCAGTCAGTAGATTGCCCTCCCAGGGCAGAGTTTGTGTCTCTGTCATTTTGCATCTAACACAAAGCCGGACACTGAGTCGAACGAGGCTGAATAGCGTTGTCTTTGAAGGAAGGATGTGCTCATTTGTCATTGTCCACAAAGTGTTGGTGACAGTGCTGCTTACCCAGCAAGCACTGGCAGCCCCAGAAGGCGTGGCTGGAGGGGAGAGGGCATGTTAGAGAGCTGTCAGTATTAGTTTTTGAGGCATGTTTATTTGCAGAGGCTTCCTCCACCCTCTCCTGGTCTTGGTTACCAATCCTCATTAAAGCCCAGTGATGTCAGCCTCTCCACCCCAAAGCTGAGACAGAAACAATGCTGCCACAAAAAGGCTGGCCTCCTGCAGGTAGGATAGGGCCTTGCTCCCAGCCTCTTGGCTTGACATGGTTCCTGCATTCTTGGTCCTTTCCACATGGACAGCTTTTGGATGGACACTGAGTAGGCAGCCTCCTGCCAAGACCTTGACCAGGCTTGACTGATGGAGGAAGGGGACACACTGGCCACAGCACAACTTTGCGGGTTCATGGGTCTTTGCACTGCCCTTGTGTATCTCAACCACCTGCTTTGTAAATTTATTTTGAAACTATTGCCAGAATGGAGTGGAAAGTTGAGGCCATCCGTTCCCCAACTACAGGTTTCCCAACCACGCTGAAGGAGAGGGCTTGGGAGAGGTACATAAAGTAGGGTGAGCTGGCAGAAAACAGAGCCTGTACAATAGCTGGGGAGCCAGATGTTCACTTTCACAGCTCTCCTGTAAAACTGGCAGGGCAGATATAGATTAGAACGAAGCACAAACTCCATTTAAAGTGCATTACAGCTCAGGAACTGGCTCCCCCGGGCAGGAGAAGGGAGGGAGGGGCACAGAGGCCACATCAGTCTCCTTCCTTATCTAGGGCCACATGTCTCTCTCCTAGCTTTGTGAAGGGTGATTTACACCCCTGGCCGGAATGACTCTCTTTCTGGGCTGATTACATCTGCAAATGCCCCCCAGAGGCCACAGCAGGATGGCCATGTTCAGAAGCAGCAGCCAATAAATCTGAGAGGTTTATATTGCAGTCCACAATACCCTGCCTCTGGCCTGCTGCCAGGACTCGGTGGAAGCCAGGAGCAGCGGAAAATCCAGGGGTTAGGGGATGGAGCCCCAGCCTCCTCTCATCATGCTTATTTCCCTCCAGGCTCTGCTTGCTTCTCATACTTCCAAGCCATTCTGGCAGTTGGTGGGAATCGGCTCAAGCCCAACAGACCCCTTTATCCTTGTGGGGATACATACGGGATTTGGGGACACAACCTGTTTACCTAGCTTGACCCTGATAGACTAGCTCACTCTGAAACTCTGATCTGAAAATGATGGGGTTCCTAAATAGTCTCCAGACATCTTCTTTAGTGTCTTTGGCCCAGGAAAGTCCCTGCGCTCGCTCTCTCTCTCTCTCTCTCTCTCTCTCTCTCTCTCTCTCTGTGTGAGTGTGTGTGTGTGTGTGTGTGTGTGTGTGTGTGTGTTGAGGGTGAGGGGTCCCTATGTTTCCTGGTGATACCAGAGAAAATGAATTTTAGAGCAGTCAAGTCTGGTGAAGCTCCCGGGGTCTCACCCCTCACCCGGGTCATGCTTCTTTCATTAAAGTAGTTTCACCAGCTTTGCAGAATCTTGATTTTAATAACCACCGTAGACTCTTACACTTATACAGTAAAGGACAAATGAGATCAAAGATGCAGATTCTAAGAGAAAAAAAATACTCAAATTCAAACACTCCAATGATAGTTCAAGTTTGTTACAAGATTTCATTTGTTGTGGTTGCTCTTCCTCGGGGAGAGGGGTCCGGAAGGTGAGAAAGGCGGCTTATTTTGGGGAACTATTGGACCCCGGGACGGCTAGGGTCCCGCGGTAGCTCCCCAGCCTTGCTAAAGGCGGCGGGCTGCAGGCGCAGGTGGGCACACTGGGTGCCACCTCCTCCCGCTGTGCCCGTCTGGAGCAGAAGGCGGCGAGGTGCGGCCGCGCGCTCCAGAGTTGGAGGGCGGCGCCCGGGACCCTGGTGGGAGCTCGGCCGTGCGGTGCAGTGGGCGGGAGGCGGCGCCGGCCCGAGAGCCCAGAGGGCGGAACTCGAGCTCCGACTGCCAGAGGACGGTGTGGGCAGGCGCAGGCAGAGTTCCCTGGGGGTGGAGACGGGCACCCTACCAGCCATGGTGCGCGCCCCGAGCCCGCCGTCGCCGCTACCCGTGGTCCCGCTGCTGCTGCTGCTGCTGCTGCTGCTGCTGTCGCTGCTGCTTGGAACCGGTGAGTGTTGCCTCCGGGCGCGAGGTCGGACCTGCCGGGACTGGAGGTGCAGGTGGAGGTGAGCGTGGAGGCGGAGCCCGGAGGGGAGTGGGAATGACCGGGACTTCTGTCCCTCCCGTCCCGGGACCTAAAGGAGGAAGCCTAGCGTGCCAGGAAGGGGCTGCGTTCCGTGCCCGATCCTGGATCTGTCCCTCGAGTGCCAGGAACGCCCGGACATCCGAGGGTCTCCGCTTTCCCGGTTCCCCTCTTCCCTCCTGGCGGTGCATGTACCCGGTCCCAGAGCATCCGGCAGCCGGGCCGCTAGGAGACAGCAGCTCTCAGAAGCAGGATTCTCATTTGCTCCAGTGACTTTCAGTTCCTCTACCCCTGCAACTTTTCCTTCCCTATGAAGAAAGACAGAGAAGAAAGTTGTTAGCATTGTCACAAACTAGGGCTGTACCTGCCCAGAACTCAACCCCAGCACCCTAGGGTCCTAGAAAAACTCCCTCCTGAGCAGAGGCCTCTCCCCCACCAGCCACCCAGCAGGGTACTACCTTGCCCTGTGGACGACTAGTCCACAGCGGGTGTAGTGCAAGCCTGGTTTTAGAACCAAACCCATCCCCTGAGGAAGAACAGTCTGAGAGCCAGCAGCTCTGGAAAAATGCCCATAGCTTTGGGCACTGATAGGTGCATAGAATTGCATACTGCAGCTTCTGCCGGAGCCGGAGTGAAGGGAATCCCGGGGTAGAGATTGCACACGCTACCCTGCACGCTTTCTTTCACAAGACGGTACTACAGAAATGCAGTTGTGGAGCAAGTGTAGTGGTGCATATCTGTAAGCTGGAGGATCGAGGCAAGCTGGAGGCCAGTCTGGGCTACATAGTGAGTTCAAGGCCATAACAAGACCCCGTTTCAAGGAAAAAACAAAAATCAAAGAAAGACAATTGTGACTGTGAGACAGATATGGAAGAAAAGAGGGATAGGACTGGTCTGTCCAGACTGGCTCCAACAGTAAGTCTGGGCAGCAAAATACCAATCTGATCGTGGTGTCACACACCAACACGAATGCGTGGCTGCATGTCAGGCCCGGAGTCCACCCTGAACTCCTCCTCGGTGAGCTCACTGAGTAAGGTAGAGTGAGGGACAGGTGTATTTTCTTTCTTTTTTCTATACCGGGGATCGAACTCGGGTCTTTGTGCTTGTGAGGCAGGTGCCGGAACCAATGAGCTAAATCCACGGCCTGACGGGTGTATTTTCTATTTGCCTCAGTAATACTTGTCAGCAGTGGCTTCTGGTTGAGTAGCTGCAAAATCAATTAAGGATTCCATGCCCTGAAGCACAACCTAACACCTATTTCATATACTCACCCTCTGATGAACCAAGAAGTAAATCAAGTCGGGAAGCCAGGCTGCTGACTAATTACTGGAGAAAACAAAAGGCGGTGGCAGTATGAAGGAGAAAGGGACATACGTAATGTAGGCAAAGTACAAATTGGAAAAGATGGGGCTTGTCAGAAGGGGGCAAGCTTGCAAACTAAGTTCCAGGTGGTACGTTGTTTTGTTTTGTTTTTTGTGGCACTGGGGACCTTGTCCTTGTGAGGCAGGCACGGTGCCACTGAGCTAAATCCCTGGCCCCTCCAGGTGTTAACAACATTGTGAGAACGTGGGCTTGTGTTCTGTATTTCAAGAGAAATGGGAAATCTATAGTTTGTTGTTGTTGTTTTGTTTTTTGGTACCAGGGATTGAACTCGGGTCCTTGGGGTTGCAAGGCAGGCGGTGGAACCACTGAGCTAAATCCCTGGCCCTGTTTTTTTTTGTTTTGAGACGTGGTCTTCCTTTGTAGTTTAGGCTAGACTTGAATTCACTATGTAACCCAGTTGCTTCTCTGCCTTTTGGCTATGATCAAGTGCACTGTGTAGCCCAGGCTGGCTTCAAATTCACATCAATCCTTGTACCTCAGCCTCCTTAGTGCTGGGATTATAGATATGTACCACCACATGGAAATTCAGTTTTATGTAAAATCTTTTAGCTCTCTCTTTCTCTCTTTTTTTTTTTTTTTTTTTTTTTTTTTTTTTTTTTTTTTTGAGACAGGGTCTTGCTATGTAGCTCAGGCTGGCCTTGACCTCACTATGTAACCCAGGCTGGTCTCCATCTCTTGGCAGTCCTCCTGCCTAGCCTTCTGAGTGCTGGGATTACAGATGTGCTCCACCACACCCAGTTTAAATCTTTTAGTTTTTAAATGTTAGACATAATTACAACTTTAAGAAAATACTGTTTTAGCTGGGTGTGGTGGCACACACCTATAATCCTAGCACTGGGGAGGCTGAGGCAGGAGGATTGCTGTGAGTTCCAGACCAGCCTGGGCTGCATTGTGAGACCCTCTCAAAAAACAAAACAAAAACAACAACAAAAGAAAATACTGTTTTAGCTGGCCAAGGTGGCACATGCCTGCAGTCTCAGCACTCTGAGAGGCAGAGGCAGGTAGATCCCAAGTTCAAGCACAGCCTGGTCAATTTAGTAACTTAGTGATTTAAAAAATAGTTTACACCAGGTGTGTTGGCACCTGTCTGTATTCCCACACCTTAGAAGTCTGAGGCAGGAGGATCACCATGACTTCTAGGCCAGCCGGAGCTACATAGTGAGACTCTTCAATCCTCAGTATGAAAACCAAACCAAAACAACAACAACAAAACTTTTAGTACCTGGTGTGGTAGCACATGCCTAGTTTTAACACTCAAGATGTAGAGGAGGGAGGATCACAAGTTTGAGGACAGCCTGGGCTGCATAGGGAGTCCCTGTCTCAAAGTAATAAGCATCCCCACCTTTTTATGTAAAACTTGGTTAAGGTGGGCGGTGAGGTACATGTTAGTAGTAGAGCACTTCCTTAACATGCACAAGGCCCTAGGTTTGATCCATAGCACAAAAACTGAAGGAAGAAAATACTGTGTCAATTAAAGGAAACATCTGTGCACTGAATCAATTTGTGACCTTTGTCCTGGATCAAGCCTGTTTCATGGTCTAGGAGACAAAAGTTCAACCCTGCTGTGACACATTTCACACGCCCCCCTCCAAGGTCTTCTTGGTTGGGCCGAGACCCTCCCAGATGTACCGTTGTTCACACTTGGTGAACTGTCAACTAAGAGATTTTCGAAGCTTTCTTTTGAAAATCATTGTGACTCAATATTTAGTTCAGTTAAATATTTACTTAGTCTAGAGACAACTGTAAGTCTTGAACCTGCTATGCTCCTTTCAGCAACCACTTACTGGGAACTGACTTGCAGTGACAGCTTAATCTTTTTTAGTTTTTCTCAGCCTGTTTAAATCCATTTTCCCATTTTTGTGAAAATTTTAAAATCTCATTCCTTCCTTAAATATCATTTTAAATTTCAAAAACTTTTTAAAAAACTCGTTCCAGGGTCGGGGGATTTGGCTCAGTGGTGCTGCCACCTGCCTCGAAAGTGCAAAGTCCCGGGTTTGATCCCCTGTACCCCGCCCCCAAAAAGAAAATCAAAAAACTCATTCCATATATAAAGTTATCAAACAAACCTTTTATTTGCTTTTTTTTTTTTAACATTGCTGGGGATTGGGGTCTAAAGCTCCACATGCTGGGCACCCACCAATGAGTGTCCCCCATACTTTTTTGGGGGGTTGAGATATGGTCTTACTGTGCTGCCCAGGCTGACCTCACACTAGAATCGAGTGATCTTCCATTCTCAGCCTCCTAAGTATCGGGGACTACATGTGTGCACCAACACTGGGCTTAAATATACTTTTTTTTTCTTTTTTTGTACCAGGGATCAAACTCAGGCCCTTGCACTTGTGAGGCGGGTGGTGGAACCACTGAGCTAAATCCCCAGCCCTAAATATACATTTTTTGAACTACACCTTTCCTAAAGAAATTCTGATATATAGCCAGGCATAGGGGGGTTACTCCTGTAATCCTAATGTTTTGGGGTAGTTCCTTTAAAAATGGCTCACCAAACAAAAGTATTTCAGGTCCTTTTGTCACGAACAAAGAATTGGTTGAGAAAAGCCAAAAGTCTATTTGAAAAAATGAGGGGTGAAGAGGTAATGGAAAACTGGCTCTGCAGAGCAAACTTGGGCCAAACAGAAGAGGAAAAGAGAAAAAGAGCAACAGTTAAACTACTCCTTGGGTCTGAGAGACCCAGGATGGGCCATGGTGAGGAGTCAGGATAGTGGGCTCCCCCTGGCGTCTGGTCTCCTTTATGCCCCCCACATTTCATGGGAGCCCAGGAGAAGTTCCACATAGGAGGTCCTGAGAATCATTTGGCTTTGCCCAGGGGTCTTGAAATTGACAGGCCCCACCCACTTCTCAGCCAGTTTTGTCGCCCTATCTCCTGTACCACCAGCACTGAGGAAAGAGGAGGATCTCCAGGAGTTCTAGGCCAGCTTGAAATACATAAGGAGCTCTGTCTCTAGGTAGGTAGGTAGACTGATTAACAGCTGCCATACTGTGGCATATTGGAGACTGAAGCAAAAGGGAAAATTACCGAGTCTGTCTTTTGTTGAGGGGAATACTAGGGTTTTTGTACTGGGCTACCTCCCTAGGCTTTTTGAAAAAAAATTGTGATTGATAAAAAAATTGTAGGGGCTGGGGATTTAGCTCAGTGGTGCCGCTGCCTGCCTTGCAAGCTCAAGATCCCAAGAGTCGATCCTCAGTACCCAAAAAGAAAAAAAAATTTGTGATTGAGAATCTCACTAAATTACTGAATTACTAGGCTGAGCTCCAACTTACGATCTTCTTGCTTCAGCCTCCTGAAGTGCTGGGATCACAGGCATATGCCAGCGCTGGCTTGATTCTGTTATTATATATTCACCAGATATGATGTTAGATCTCAAACTTTAGGGAGCATCCAAATCTGCAGTGAACTCACTGCAATTCAGATTCCCAGGCTTTATCACCAGACCCTGATTAAGTAGGTCTCGAAGACCTGCCTCTTAGGTGACCCAGTTGATTATGTGATTGGAAACAGAAGAGCTCTGTGTTCCCTCCTGATTTTTCAGCTCTTAGGCTATAGGCAGAGGCAAAGGGCCCACAGAAGTTGTGGAGGTAGCTCACCAAATGGCCCTGTCATTCCTTTGTACCTTAAGAATTCACAGTGAGCAAGCATGGATGAGGCCCTAGAGATAAAGAGATAAGATGAAATGGGAGTCTACTGGGAGAAATAGTTTTTAAAGATCAAGTGAAAAATCAACTGGTGAGAAGCGCTCTGCAAAGAACTGGAGTAATAACGTGCCATCGACTGGAGGTAACTCTCCATTTGTTGATTGGGGAAGTCCTTTCTGAGATTTTAACCTGAAATCTCAATTTCCAAAAGGGGCCAGCTCTGAGATGATGGGGAAGAGTATTCCAAGCAGAAATAAAAGCAGGGCAGCCTGGCGTGGTGGTGCACGCCTGTAGTCCCAGCACTCAGGAGGCTGAGTCAGGAGAATCAGGAGTTCAAAGCCAACCTGGGCTGCATAGTGAGTTCAAGGCCAGCCTGAACTGCAGAGCAGGACTGTGTCGCCCCCCTCCAAAAAAAAAGCAGAAAGAAAGGCAGGCAAGCTAGGACAAAAGCCCTGAGTTGGACACAGGCTTGTGTTGCTCAGTAACAACTACAACGAAGGTCAGTGTGGCAGCAAAGAAGTAGAAAAGGGAGAAAAGAGTAGGAGGTGAAGTTAGCAAGGTGGACAGGGACCAAGTCTTCTAAGGTTTTATAAATTAGCATTTTTTTCAGTACTGGGGATCAAACTCAAGGCCTTCATACTGAGCTATATTCCTAGCACATTTTTTATTTTGAGACAGGGTCTCACTAAGTTGCCTAGGCTGGGTTTGAACTTCTTTTTTGATATCAGGGTTTGAACTCTAGTCCTTTCACCTGTGAGGCAGGTGGTGGAACCACTGAGCTAAACTCCCAGCCTGAAGCCAGGCGTAGTAGCACACGCCTGTAATCCCAGCACATGAGAGGCTGAGGCAGGAGGATGGCTGTGAGTTCGAGACCAGCCTGGGCTACATAGTGAGTTCCAGGTCAGTTTCAACTACATAGGGAGACCCTATCTCAAAAAAACCATAAATAAATAAGTAAGTAAAATAAATTCCCAGCCTGGGTTTGAACTTCTTAATCCTCCTGCCTTGGCCTCTCAGTGTGCTGGGGTCACAGCTATGTGCCACCATGCCCAGCATGGAAAGGAAATTTTAGCCTAAGCTGTTGGAGATGACCACACACGTCAATCAGCAGTAGAATTATGCAATATTCACACTACAGAATGCTATGCAGCAATTAAAATAAGTTACATATAACTACACTTACCAGTATGGATGAATTACATAAACATGATATTCAACAAAAGAAGCCAAGACACAAGCCAGGCATGGTGGCACATGCCCGTAATCCCAGCACTTGCAAGGCTGAGGCAAGAGAATCACCACAAGCCTGGGCTAAACAATGAATTCAAGGCCAGCCTAAACTACATATTGAGACCCTGTCTCAAAAACCAAACAAACAAGCCAAGACACATACAAAAAACACATTTTATGATTGAAACACAGCCCAAACTAGGCTCTCCTGTTAGAAATTGAGGCTTCTGGATGACGAGTACTCTTCTGCTCCTCCCTCTGGGTTCTGATTGAACAGATGTATTCAGTTTGTAAGATGCGCTGACTTTGATTCATGGGCTCTTCAATAAAAAGTGTACTTCAATAAAGTATATTACTACAAGGGCTGGGGATTTAGCTCAGTGGTGCCGCCGCCTGCCTCGCAAACACAAGGACCTGAGTTCAATCCCCGGTACCCAAAAAGACAAAAACATAAAGTATATTACTAAGAAGCCCATAAAAATATGCTCTCCGTCCCTCCGGGGGGGGGGGACGCAAGTGTAAAGCCCAGTGAGATACCACTTCACGTCCACGAGGGTGGCTATCATGAAATCAAAACTGGGAGGAGCGGCAACAAGAGTTGGCCAATGTATGGAGAAGCTAGCATCTCTGTACGTACGTAAAATGGCGTGGGTTCTGTGGAAGACGATCAGCTGCTCCTCAGAAAGCTAAACCTAGACTAGTGCTATTGACCCAGCAATAGGAATCTGCTCGGGAGAGTTGCGAACAGGTGTGGAAACAGATACTCAAACAGGAGTGTTCTTGGAAAGTTATTCAGAGTCAACAAAGAGTGGAAACAACTCCAAAGCTGTCAGCTAACAAATGAATCAACAAAATGTGGCATCCATACCAGAAAATATTAATCGGTAGAAAGGAATGAGGAACCGATACAAGCTATATTCTGAATGAACCTCAAAAGCAATGTGCTGGACTGGGGATTTAGCTCAGTGGTTTTGCCACCTGCCTTGCAAGCGCAGGGTCCCGCAGTTCAATCCTTGGTACCAAAAAAAAAAAGCAACATGCTAGGTGGAAGAAGCCAGAAACGAGAAACAAAGATCTCCTGCAGTGATATTATTCCATTCTGTGAAATGTCTAGTATAGCTAAATCCAGAGACGGAAAGATTAGTGGTTGCCGGAGGCCCAGGGGAAGGAAGATAGGAGTGGTTGCTTAATGGGTGTGGGTTACTTGCAGGATGATAGTGTTCTAAATGCCACTTAATTGTGCACTTTAAGAAAGTTAATTTTATATTGTGTAGATTTTACCTCAATAAAAAATTTCCAATTTAAAAAGATGTGATCATGCATGGTGGGTGTATCCCTGTAAATCCAGCATTTAGGAGGCTGAGGCAGGAGGATCATAAATTTGGGGCCAGCCTGGACTACAGAGCAAGACCCTGTATCAATCAATCAGCGCCTTTTGTACTACTCTAAGATTTTTATGTTTTGTTTGATTTTGATTTTGAGACAGAGGCTCACTACATAGTTCAGGCTGACCTTGAATTCACTATGTAGCCCAAGCTGGCCTCAAAATCATGGCAATCCTCCTGCCTCAGCCTTGAGGGTGTTGGGATTACAGATGTGCACCATCACGCCTAGCTTGTGCTGAGCTGAAATTTTTGCAAGTTTTTGCCGGAAATCTCCCCTCCCTACTCACCACTTGGTTTGCCAGAGCCTCACCCCCTCTGCCCTCCACAGGGGAACCTTTTCCCACAGAGAGCTGGCTCTTGAACAGCTGTGTCCAGGCCAGGAGGAAGTGCCAGGCCAATCCCACATGCAAGGCCGCCTATCAGCACTTGGGTTCCTGTGCCTCTGGGCTGAACACCCCCATGCCCTCCGGGAAGCCTGCTGCCCGAGAAGACTGCCTAGAGGCAGCCCAGCAGCTGCGGAACAGCTCCCTGATGGGCTGCTCGTGCCCCAGGCGCATGAAGAACCAAGCTGCCTGCCTGAACATCTACTGGACAGTTCACCCTGCCCGCAGCCTTGGTGAGAAAGGGCCCTGTCCCAGACGGATGGGGCTGGGAAGACGGCCTTGGGGTTAGTTTGTAATCCTTCAGGATATGGAATGCATGGTAGATTCCAAAGAGAATGAGACTTAAGGTCTGTGTGGTCAGGGAGAGAGGGAGGGAAGAATCCGCGGGATCCTTCCAGCCCCTGAATGCTGCCCTCTTGCCTCCTCTCATCTTAGCTGCCTCTTGGCAGTGCTCGGAACCAGGCAGGAGCCCAAATGGGAGTTCTGGGAACAGAGAAGGATGGAGAGAATACGTGGCAAAGTTTGAGGCCAGCACAGACGACATAGTGAGTTCAAGGACAGCCTAAATTATATAGGGAGACCTTGTCTCAAAAAACAAAACAAGGGACCAGGGATTTAGCCCAGTGGTTCCACCACCTGCCTCTCAAGCACAAGGTCCCAAGTTCGATCACTGGTACCAAAAAAAACCCCAAAACAACAAGGGTAGGGATGTAGCTCAGTGGCACCACGCCTGCCTGGCAAGCACAAGGTCCTGAGTTCAACCCCCAGTACTGAAGGAAAAAAAAAAAAAAAACACAAAAAAATCTGGCCCAAGGATTTAGCTCAGTGGTGCCACTCCTGCCTCACAAGTACAAGGTCCTGATTTCGAAACCTGGTACTGGAAAAAAACAAAACAAAAAAGTAAACATATGTAATCTTACAGGGAGGGCAAGAATACTTGAAAACAGTAATACAGTCTACCATGATTCATCACTTCATCAAAATATATATTACACCCGCCCACTTGCCAAGGACGATGCTCCAAAAGCTCTAGCCAAACAGCATCAAGCTTCAGGTCTAGGATCTCATGGCAGCTTCTGTATGGAGTATGCACGTGGATACGCTTGATCTGGAAACCTGTTTGTTTTTGTTTATTGGTACCCGGGATCAAGCAGGCAGTAGAACCACTAAGCTAAATCAGCAGCCCACTGATCTGGAAACCTGTGAACTGAAAAGACCTGCCTCCCAGCCTCCTGAGGATGACCACACACTTGCAGGAGGCAGAGGAATGGCAGGCACTCGGAGAGCACTGATTCACATCGATTTTTTTTTTCTCTCTCTCTTCCTTCCTTCCTTTTTCTTTTCTTTCTTTCTTTCTTTCTTTCTACTTATTTACTTAGTGATTCAGGGTCTCACTATGTAGTGCAGGCTGGCCTTAAACTCACTGTGTAGCCCAGACTGGCCTTGAACTCCTAGTGATCCCCCTGCCTCAGCCTACCAGGTGCTGAGATCTTAGACCCATCCTGATTCCCAGCAGTCCTGAAATCCTTCTAGGCAGCAGTTGTGAGGACCTTCTTCTCTAGGAATAGGGATTGTTCTTTACTAGGGCCCTGACTTTGCTCTATGGGACTAATATAGCTGCCCTATCTGTTATTCCCAGGCCCTCTGGGAGGTCCTTATTTTTTTTCATTATTCTCTTTGGCCACATTTGATTTTTTTTTTTTTCTTTTGGTACCAGGAATCAAACTTGGGTCCTTGTGCTTATGAGGCAGGTGCCAAAACCACCGAGCTAAATCCCCAGCATCTTTGGCTACATTTGAAAAGGGAGTTGGAGAGGAGAGGATAACCTCCTTAGAGACTGAGGGGCATTCTTAGCCGCTTCCTGTCTGAGGACCAGGGCATTTTAAGTCTCAAATAGTCACAAGTCACAGTCTTTTCATCCAGACTGGTAGCTCTTAGAAGTACAGCTCTCTCAAGACATAATTGCTTTTTGTTTGTTTGTTTTGGTAGCAGGGATTGAACTTGGGACCTTGCACTTGCGAGGCAGGCGGTGGAACCACTGAGCTAAATCCCCAGCCCCATAATTGCTTTTTACATCTTCGTTCCTGACCTCTTGTGTTCCAGTAGCCTTTCCCACAATTCAAGTCAGGTATCTCTTTCTAGACCCGAAGAGGAGGCCTTTGCTGGACCAGGCCTCGGTGGGAAAGTCACTATCTCAGTCTTTTTCCCCCACCTATATCTGTCCAACTGGCAGGATTTATTGGGTACCGTTTTAATCAATTGAGAGATCTCCAAAAAGGACGTGATGGCCATATGTTTGATTGGATCTTTTCCCCAGGGCTGAGTTGTAATCAGCCTTATCCCTCAGAGCATTTTTCAGTTTTATCTTTTACCATTTGATATGAGAAACAGTTCCATGTTTTAATTCTTTAAATCCTGGAAATTCTGGATTCTTTTTCTGGTTCCTGCCTACTTGTAAAATGTACCCCCTGCCAAAATCTTTTTTTCTCCTGAGTCAAGAGTTTTGCTATGTTGCCCAGTCTAAACTCTTGGGCTCAATCAATTCTCCTGCCTCAGCTTCCTGAGTAGCTGGCACTACTGGCATATACCACTATATCCAGCTAAACTGGCCTTTTTATTTCCCAAGCCTCAGCCTTTCTTCCTGTCTGTCTTTCTTGTTATCTTGGCAATCTGCATCTTTTTTTTTTTTTTTTTTTTTTTTTGGTACCGGGAATCAAACTCAGGTCCTTGTGCTTGCGAGGCAGGCAGCAGAACCACTGAGCTAAATCTCTGACCCGCTTTTTCTTTCTTTCTTTCTTTCTTTTTCTTTCTTTCCTTCCTTCCTTCCTTTCTTTCTTTTTCTTTTCTTTCTTTCTTTCTTCAAAATCTTGCTGCTGAGTCACTAAGTTGCCCAGGCTGAGCTTGACTTTGCGTTCCTCCAGCGTCAGTCTCCCAGAGTGCTGGGATGACAGGGCGCTCCACTACGCCTGGCTCCAGCTTTCCTTGTTTGGCTTATGTGAGCTTCAGCGAGTAATTTGGCCTCTCTCATCCCCAGGTGCCTAGATGAAAGGAGGCTGTGCGCTTGTGTGCATCCTGAACCATAGTGCCCACCAGATGGTATAGCTTCTATAATTTACTCTTTGGGCCCCGCCTATACCTTTATGGCTTAGGGTTTTTATCCTCTGCACAGCTCAAAGCTAGGTAGGCAGTCTCAGCCTCTCTGCTCTGCCCACCTCGGTCCTCAGCGTTCCGTGCCCCCTACCTTGTTTCTAGGTGACTACGAGCTGGATGTCTCCCCGTACGAAGACACAGTAACCAGCAAACCCTGGAGAATGAATCTCAGCGAGTTGAACATACTGAAACCAGGTGCAGAGGGCTGGGCTGTGGGTGAGGGTGGCCAGCGAACGCAGGCTGGGGCTCAGGAGGAGACCATCCTGCCTGCGGGGGACACAGCCCTGGGTCAGGGCCGACAGCGGGGCGGTGTCCATGTCTGCTCTCCCAGGAGTCATCGGAAAGCAGCAGTTATTAGGGGAGCATTTGAGGAGAGCCCATTAGGGCTCCGGATCCCCACAAGGGGAGGGCAGGCATGACAGCAGTCTCAGAAAAATGTACTGAAATGGAGTATTAATGCATAGTCAAGCAGCCAGGAAAGTTGTTTTTGTTTTTTTTGTCCCTAAAGACTAGAAAATTGCTTGTTTTTAGCCGTTCAAATGGAATGGGTGAGGTGCTGGGCAGAGTAAATAGTGAGAGTGTGACTCGGGGTGGCGGCGAGCCATCGGGCTGGCAAGAACTTGATGCTCTTTTTTTTTTTGGTACCGGAGATCGCACTCGGAACCTTGCACTTGCGAGGCAGGCAGCGGCTTTTTGTTTTTTTATATTTAAGTAGAACAGTGACTTGAGAAAGCAGCACACAATTTTTTTGAGAAATACAAGTTTCCTTGTGTAGTCAGTTCTATATATTAGAATTAGAACTTTGAGGAAAAAACAGACATTTAGATGGCTGTGGGGGTGCACTCCTGTGTCTTAGCACCTAGGAGGCTGAGGCAGGAGGATCAAAGAAAGTTCAAGTCTGGCCTGGGCTGCATAGTTCAAGCCCAGCCTGAACCACAGAGTGAGGCCCTGTCTCAAAAAACAAAAGAAAACCAACCAAAACGTTTTAACAATAGGATCCAAAAGGCTTCCAGTACCGCCTGTCGCCCATCGTTTGTGGGTGGAGGAAAGCCCTGGATTAGATGCGGCCTTATTCAAGACAGCCTTCCCTTTCCTCCTACTCCCTTCCGGCCTTTTCCAGTCAGGGCTTCTCCAGGGCTCCTAGGAAGCCTGAGCTGCCGCTGTGTGGAGAGGATGGGGCTGGTGGCTCAGTGCCTCTCTTCCCACAGACTCCAACACCTGCCTCAAGTTCGCGATGCTGTGCCTCCTCAATGACAAGTGTGACCGGCTGCGCAACGCCTATGGGGTGGCGTGCTCGGGGAGCCACTGCCAGCGCCAAGTCTGCCTGCAGCAGCTGCGCGCCTTCTTTGAGAAGGCGGAGCAGCCCCTCGTGCAGGGCCTGCTGCTGTGCCCATGCCTGCCCGCTGACCGCGACTGTGGGGAGCGCAGGCGCAACACCATCGGCCCCAGCTGCGCGCTGCCCTCGCCGGCCCCCAACTGCCTGGACCTGCAGCGCCTCTGCGTTGGCGACCTGCTGTGCAGGTGCGCAGTGCCTCCGCCAGGGTGGAAGGGAGCAGTACTTGCCCCTCCGTCCGCCTTCTTCATGGTTTGGGTCTGACCCTCAGGCATCTGTGAACTCACTGGCTGGTTCTCCTTGGATATTTTGGTAAAACTTAAAAAAAAAATTATTTTTATTTTGGCTATTTTATTTAGGTAGTGGCACATGAACCGATAATTCCAGCACTGTGGGTTGCCGAGGCAGGAAGATCTCCAATTCGAGGCCAGCCTGGGCAGCTTAGCCATTTAGCAAGACCCTGTCTCAAAATAAGTAAAATCGTCTAAGGGCTGGGGAGGCAGCTCAGTGCAAAGGCCAAGTACCTCCCTCAAGCCCCTCAAAAAAGTACAGATAAAATTTCAGCCAGGTGTAATGGATGCTTGTGATCCCAGCACTCAGGAGGCTGAGGCAGGAAAACACCCACAAGTTCGAGGCCAACCTGAGCTACACAGTTCAAGAGGAGCCTAAACCACAAAGAAACCCTGTCTCAAAAAACAAAAGAAAAATAAACAAGGGGCGGGGAATTTAGCTCAGTGGTGTTGCTGCCTTCCCTGCAAGTGGTGGCACACACCTGTAATCCCAGCACTCGGGAGGCTGAGGCAGGAGGATCACTGTGAGTTCGAGACCAGCCTGGGCTACATAATGAGTTCCAGGTCAGTCTCAACTACACAGTGAGACCCTGTCTCAAAAAAACCAAAACAAATAAACAACAAAAAAAGAAAAAAACAAACAAACATACAAAAAAACCCTCAGAAAATATAAAAATGTATAAAAATATCACTCCTTACCTGGAGATAACCTACCATATTTTGCTGAGCATTTCCTTTTAGTCATTTTTCTATTCAGACACCAAAAGTAGATATTCTGAGGACATATTTGTGTCTTGGGTTTTTTCATTTTTGTTCAGTATAGTGGTAAGACAGGCTTTTAAATGTGTTAGCTTTCTGCTGCTGTGAAAAACGCCTGACAGGAACAATTTAGAGGAACAGTCTCTATTCAGTCATGGTTAGCTGGCTCCATTGCTTGCTTTTATTTATTTATTTATGACTCTTTGAGATACGGTCTCACTATGTAGCTGAAGCTGGCCTCAGACTCACAGTGGTCCTCCTACCACAGCCTCTCACGTGCTGGAATTGCAGTGTGCCAACACACCCGGCTTCCATTGCTTTCAGACTTGTGATAAGGCAGAAATATCATGGTGGAAGGGTGTGGCGGTGAGGAGCTGCTCATCTCATGGCAGCCAGGAGAGGATGTTGGGGACTAGGGTTTACTCCCTTCAAGTCGGCCCACTTCCGGTTTCTGTCATCTCCTAATAATACCACGGAACTGGGAGCTCATCAGGAAGACATCAGAGCTCTTATAATCCAGTCTCCTCCCAAAGCCCATCAGGAACTAAGCCTTCAGCACCGTGAGCCTTGGGGGGGTGGATTTTGGTCCCAGGTACGCTATGAAGTAGAATGGATGTGGATTTAAGTCCTGGGTCTGTGTAATGTTGAGCACGTTGCTTAGCCTAAACTTTTATCATTTAACTCAGGGTTCTATTTAGTTCCCTGCAAAAACTGGGATAACAATACAGATTCCTGGGATTCTGGGACAGAATTAAATTACTTGTGTGGATTGCTTAGCTTACTGGGGCAGAGTAAGTGCTAGATAAATAGTGGTGCTTATTTTGTGATTTGTTGTCCTTTAAGAACTTGTTTTTTCCTGGACACAGTAGCACAGCCCTGTAATCCCAGCTACACCCTTGGTTTGTATTTTATTTTCTATTTTTCATAGGGCTGGGGAACCACTGAGCTATACCACAACCCCAAGAATTTTTTTTTTTTTTTTTTGGTTTTTTACAGTCTCATTGTATAGTTCAGGCTGGCCTTGAACTCACGTATAGCTAAAAGCTAACATCAAACTCATAGTGATCCTCCTGTCTCAGCCTCCTAAGTGCTGGAGCTGTAGGTATGTGTCACCAGATTTTGACTTTTAAAATCCTGCACTGTGACCCACTAATGGGTGCCCCATACTTTCATCATTCTAATATTGGATGTTTAGGTTGTTTCCTTTGTTGCTATACATAATGCTGCAATAATTATCATTCTTGTTCCTTTTCATCCCCCCCCCAGTATTAGGGATTGAATGCAAGGAATGTCTTGCCATTTACATATTTATTTATTTATTTATTATTTTGAGCCTTTTCTTTTTTTCTTTCTTTTTTCCAGTACTGGGGATTGAGCTCAGGACTTTGTGCTTGGCAGGCAGGCACTGAGCTACATGCCAGACCCTTATTTTTGGTCTTTTGAGACAGGGTCTCGCTGTGTGGTACAGCTGACCTTGAACTCACAGTGTAGTCAAGGCTGGCCTCAGACTCACAGCAGTCTTCCTGCCTCAGCCCCCTGAGCAATAAGATTACAGACTTGCACTACCATGCCTGGTCTTCTCTATTTTATAGTCAAGGAAACAGGTGAAGAAAAAGAAAAAGGAAATGGGTGACAGGATCTGCCCGCCATGTCCATCTGGGGTTGTGGAGCCCAGATGCAGGGTGATGTGTGCGGGGTGGTGGTGACAGTACATTTGATTGTGATGGGCTGGCTCACCGAGGAGGCCCTGGGAGGGGTGTGATGGCTGAGGGGATGGACAGCGAGGGTGAAGGCTTCAGGCCACACCTTCATTGGGGACTCTTGAAATTTCTGTTCTTCCAGATCACGCCTGGCAGACTTCCAGACCCACTGCCACCCCAGGGGCATCCTGGGGACTTGTGCAACAGAGCAGTTCCGATGTCTGCACGCGTACCTGGGGATGATCGGTGAGGCTCGTGTGCAGAGGCCCAAGGAGGAGAGGGCAGTGGAGACCGCGCCCGGGTGCTGTGGTCCTGAGACGGCTGGGCAGGGTGGGAGCTGAAGTCAGGGTCTACCTCGACCTTGACAGCCCCTTCTGCGCTCCACCCACAGGCACTGCCATGACCCCCAACTTCGTCAGCAACGTCAACACGAGTGTGGCCTTGAGCTGCACCTGCCGAGGCAGTGGCAACCTGCAGGAGGAGTGTGAGCAGCTGCAGAGGTCCTTCTCCAGTAACGCCTGCCTCGGTATGTGCACCGCTCATCAACCAGGGTCAGCGGGTCAGCCAGAGGGTGAGGAGGGGCTGACTCCGTGGCCAGCGGGGCCACCATCTCCTTCAGACCGAGCAACCCTCTTCTTGGAATGGGCTTCCAGCTTCCTAGCCCAGGGCTTTCTTCCTCTTCTGCCTCCTGAGTGACCCCCCCCAGGCTGCCTGTTCAACCTGTCTGGGCTCAGGGACAGCTCCAGCTTGAGTAGCAAGCAAGCAGAAGGAGGGAGTATTCTCTTCTTCCCAACTCACACGTACCTGCTCCTTTACAACCCCCACAGTATCCCCGTTTTCCTGTCCTGGGAGTCCTAGAAATCTCCTGATGAGCAGATATAGTGGCACACGCCTGTAATCCTAGCACTTGGAGGCTGAGGCAGGAGGGTCACTGCAAGTTCAAGGCCAGCCTGGGCTACACAGTGAGTTCAAGGCCAGCCTGAGCTCCATAACGAGACCCTGTCTCCAGGGGGGAAAAAAAGAAACAAGAAAAAGAAATTTCTTGCCACCATACCCTTCCAACCTGTTTTCTGCCCTCTGTTCAGAGGGGGCCATTGCAGCTAAGATGCGTGTCCACAAGCAGCTCTTCTTCCCGGACCTCGTAGCCCCTGTCCCTCCTGTGATGGAGCACCAGGTAGGGCCTCCTCTCTTACGGGGCCAGCTAGAGAAACCCCAGCCAAACAGACCAGGGATGGGGTGGGTAGGGGGCCACTTCCTGTTTCTACAAATACTAGGGATGACTAAGGGACCCCCCAGGGGAAGGGGCCAGTCTTGCTTGAGGCTGAGGTATTGAAGAGGGGCGATGGTTTCCTAAATTGACTGTTCCGTTTCTTCCGCAGAATAAGAACTCTGACCTGAGACCACAGCCCTGGGTTCCCTTTCTTTTCTCCTGCACACTTCCTTTGATTCTATGCTGTAGCCTCTGGTAGCTGCACTTCCCCGGGGACCTTTTTCCCCTCTACAGCACCCAGCCCGGCCTGCAGCCTTCGAGGGGAGCTGGAAGGTACATACACAGCGTGGCGCCCTGTTCCGCACGTCTGGCCCACTCCAGATGAGGTCCTGGCAGCAGCTGTGGGATGGGGCCTCCAGGTCTTCACCGGCGGGTTCTCCTTCCCTCACCCTTAACCCTACTTCTCCTCCTTAGGACTTGGGGACCTTTAACCATATCTTCTGGGGGTGGCCAGCTCCACCGAGCTCTCTCCTGGCACCTCCCTCTGGCTCTGCAGGATCTCCCGAGTCTAGCACGTCAGTCGTTCTCTGTGGCAGTCTCTAGGTTGGCAGGGTTGGCAGTTACAAGGCAGCCTATAAGACCTTCCCTTAGAACAAAGCTTCTGTAGGTAAGGAAGGGAAGAAGAGTGTAGCGGGGAGGGGGAAAGAAAAGAAGCAAGACATGTCATGTACAGGTACAAATTCCCTAGATGAATGTGATCGTTCTGTGCATCTAAAAGGTACTGATAAATGTTTTGCCTCCCCGCAAAAAAGACCTTCCTTTGTGCCCCTGCCCGCTCCTGTGAGTGGAGGATAGGAGCCCATTGCCCTCTTCTGCTCTGTCAGAGTCCTAGAGGTCGTTTGGGCGTCAGGAGCAGAAGACTTTGGGCCTTGCTGTATTTCTACTTCTGTCCCAAATTTGCCCTGAATTCTTGGATCATAATTAAACATTTGGACCTAAGCCTCTGCTCTTTTTTCATTTTCTCAGATTGTGAATTTTTGCAAAATGAGGGGTGTTATAGATGTAAGGGCAAGGTCAGGTGATTAGGAGACACAGCCATCCTACCACCAACTGCTATGTGACTTCAGGAGTCTCCTCACCTCTGTGTGCTTTATGTGGATTTGGAGGAAATAACTGCATCAGTGGGCCTATAGGCCTGGTATCTGTCCAGCTCTGTCTGTCCCTGGGATCTGCCAAGACAGCAAGCAGACTTTAGTCGACCACAGCCTTTACTGAGCACCTGCTCCTGATCACAATGGGGCCAGAGGAAAGCAGAGACTAGTCCTCCCTCTCAGGGAATTTAAAACCCTGTCAGAATAATGAAAACACCTGTCCAGGCAAAGTAGTTGGAAGAATATATTTATAGTTGTTAGGCATGTTGGCGTATATCTTCAACCCCGGCTTCTTGGGAGGCTCGGTCAGGAGGACTAAATAATTTGAGGCCAGCCTAGGCAACTTAGCAAGACCTGGTCTCAAAATAAAAATTTAAAAAGGGATGCAGGCCGGGCATAGTGGCACATGCCTGTGATCTCAGCACTCGGGAGGCTGAAACAGGAGGATTACCCAGAGTTTGAGGACAGTCTGGTCTACATAGTGAGTTCAAGGCATCCTGAACTACATAGCAAGACCTTGTCTCAAAAATTAAATAAAATAGATTAAAAGTAAATAAAATAAAATGGGCTAGGGATATAGCCCAGTGGTAAAGCCTGTTTCTAGCATGAGCTGGGTTCTAGATTCAAAAAACAGTGCTGAAGGCTGGGGATTTAGTTCAGTGGCACTGCACCTGCCTCGAAAACATAAGATCCTCAGTTTGATTCCCAGTAACACACACACACACACACACACACACACACACACACACACACACACACACACAAGCAGTGCTGCAAAAAAAATGCATGTGTAGGGCTGTGGGTAGTTTGTCTATTCGTTCCCTCTATAAATGAGCATCTGATGAGTGCTGGGCGCAGAAGGTTCTGAGGTTATAAGACTCAGATCCTAGACTCAAATCTTTCATGCCTCAGTGCAGAGAACAGATAAGATAGTTGATAAACACCATACCATGTGATGAATGCTGCACAATAATTGTAAGAACAACTCTCATTCATTTAGCCTTGATGGTGAGCTGAGTAACTCCTCGAATCTACTCTTTGCAAGTACACACATTGATCTTCCAGCCCCACCTGATCATCAGTCACAAGCTATGAGACCTTGGGCGTCACCTCTCTGAACTTCATTATTCACGTGTGTAGACTGCAAAAACACAGAATCCACCTCAGCAAGCATGTGATGAGACATATAAAAGCATTGTTCCTGAAAGGAAGAGCTCAAAAAAAATCAAGCAATAAGATTATAATTTTTGTAGTGAATTTGGATAATATAATCCTCAAGACAGCAAAATCTTCACAATCCCAATCCTACTATGAGAATCTTTTGGTGTTAGATTCTCATCCCTGTGATAAAATACCTGATGGAATCCATCTAAAAGGAGAAATTGTTTTTGTTGCTTTTTTAAACACAGGGTCTATATAGTTCAGGATGCCCCTGAACTCACAGAGATCCTCCCGTCTCAGCTTCCTGAGTGGTAGGGTTACAAGTTTGCACCAGCATGCCTAGCAAGGAGGAAAGACTTAACTTGGCTCATGGTCCAGAGGTTTCAGTCCATGGTGAGCTGGTTCCATTGCTGTGGACTAAGCTGAGGCCCTGTACGTGGAGGAAGGGTCTGGTGGGACAAACTTGCTCACCTCATGTCATCTAGGAAGCAGAGAAAAGGAGCCGGACAAGAAATGGAGGGAATAAAATATACTGTTCAACGGCAAGCTCCTGTGACCTTCACCCAGTCAGGCCCCGCATCCTATGAAGTCCGTTGAGCTGGGAACTCATGGCCGTGGATGGACACAGCCACTGATGAAGTTAGCGCCCCTGAGTGCGTCACTTCCCCAAAGCCACCTCTGAACACTTCCTCATAGTCTTTTGCTGTTGCCAAGGACACAGTTCCACACTCTGGGTAAATTCTAAAGAAAGGAGGTTTTGGTGCTGTGGTGGCACAAACCTGTAATCCCAGCTACTCAGGAGACTGAGACAGGAGGATCGTAAGTTCAGTGTAGCAAAGACTCTGCCTCAAGAAAAGAAAGAAAGAAAAGAGGTTTATCTTGTTATAATGGCTCATGATTCTGGTCCACGGCTGAGGGGCTATATCTGATGACAGTTTTCTTGGCAGTTGCAAATTAGAGCAGGGCATCACATAGCACAAGACACCAGGAGTACACATGTTTATCTTAGAAAGCCACCAGGATTCAACTGTAGGGCTCTTCCTTGATGACCTTATCTAGTCATAATCCCCTCCCCAGACCACAAGCTGCATTTTTATTTTTATTTATTTATTTATTTATTTTTTGAGACAAGGTTTTGCTAGCAGTCCAAGCTGGCCTGGAACTCACAGCAATCCTCCATGACAGACATGTATTGCCATGCCTGTGTGGTTGTTCACAGTTTTCTTTTGTAATGTTTTGTATTTCTCTTGTATCGGTTTAATGTTTGCTTTTTCATCTCTGATTCTGAGTCTTCTCTCTTGTGTTTTATTAACTTGGCTAAAAACCTGTGGATTTTATCTGTTTTTTAAAAGATTGCTTTATTTATTGGCTTTTTGAGACAGGGCCTCACTATGTATTTGAGACAGACCTGGAACTCACTATGTAGCTCAGGCTGGTCTTGAACTCACAGCGATCCTCCTGCCTCAGCCTCCTGAGTGCTGGGATTACAGGCATGCGCCACCACACCTGGCTCCAGTCTTGAACTTGCTGCATATCCCAGGCTGGCCTCAAACAAACACAATCCTCCTGCCTCAGTCTCCCTAGCGCTGGAATTTCAATGCACCACCATGCCCAGCTCGAAAGCCGAGTTTGTAAACACCAAAGACAATTAAATTTCCAGCCTTTAAAAACCTCCCTGTGGGGATTATTCCCCAACCTGAGTCTCCATAGGGACAAACCATATCGAAATTTAGCACTTCCTATTTTCCTTTGAGCCTGGTTGAAGGCAGTGAGGGAAGCAACGGGGAACAGGAGCGGCGGCAGTGGAGGGTGGGGATCCTTGTAGCACCCTACCCCAGCCTCCCGAGGCTCCAGGGGGCAGCGGACTACTTCCTTCCTACCCTCTGAGCAGTCAGGGGCTCCATTAGCCTGGGGCTGGGGTGTGAACCTTACGGGCATCCATCCTCCTCACTAAGTGCTTGAGTGAGACTAATAGTCCTCTGCGCTGTCTCCGAAGAAGGCCCTGATTCCTGGTAAGCAACCAGACGGGCTTCTAGCCCAGGCCGAGAGCCAAGAGCAGAGTGGGGGGCACAGAGGCTGGGCGACGGCTGTTAATGGTCTCTGGCTGGCTGGGGAGGTTAACGCTATTGGGCCAACTTCTGGGGAACCAGGCGGGAGGGTCAGCAGCCCTGAAAAATGCTCAATTATAGTCCAGGTGGAGCAGGCCACTTTCAATAACTATCTCCAAATTCACTCATTCAGTCATTCATTAACTCAGCAAACCTTTAGCAAGCACCTACCCTCTACCTGTCCTTCAGTATTTTTACAAAAGACAAGATCTGTTCCCCGTGCATTTGTCAGCAACCATGTCAGTTAAGAAACAACCTGAGGAACAGCCCAGCTGGACCCTAAGTTTGAGTAGCAGGAGCTCACAGTTACCCTGGTGGGTTTTTTTTTTTTAGTTTTTTTTTGGTACCGGGGATCAAACTCAGGACTTTGTGTTTGCGAGGCAGGCACCAGCAGCACTGAGCTAAATTTCTGGCCCTCTTTTTAGGGTTTTTTGTTTGTTTGTTTGTTTGCTTTTTGAGACAGAGTCTCACTATGAAGTTCAGGCTGGCTTTGAACTTACTATGTAGCCCAGGCTGACCTTGAACTAACAGCAATCTTCCTGCCTTAGCCTCTTGAGTGCTGGGATTACAGGTGTGCACCCCAATGCCTGGATTGAGCCCTGCTATATTGCTTACCTCTCTGAGCCACTGTTTTCTATTCTACAGTAGAGTTGCTAATAGGATACATCATGATTGAGAGGGTTACAGTTTTTATTTTGCAGTTTTGTTTTTAACAAATCCAGTATATATCTATATCTATATATAGATATAGATATATCTCCTAATTAGGCTGAGCGTGGTGGCGCACGCCTGTAATCCCAGCACTCGGGAGGCTGAGGCAGGAGGATCATTGTGAGTTCAAGACCAGCCTGGGCTACGTAGTGAGTTCCAGGTCAGTCTCAACTATACAGTGAGACCCTGTCTCAAAAAACCAATAAATAAATAAATAAATAAATAAATATCTCCTAATTGGCAATGTCAAATGATTGTATATCAATTTTTAAATTTTTGGGGGGGTACTGGGGATCAAACTCATGACCTTGTCCTTGCAAGGCAGATGTGATATCACTGAACTAAATTCCTGGCCCTATCCAATCAATTTTAATTGTTTTTGTTGTCAAGTTTGTGGCTATTTCTATAAATGCTTATAAACAGAAGTCATTTCAACTTGTTTTGATTTCTACTTATATTTAATTTAGATAATAGTAAAAAATATTTTAAAAGCAAGTCAGAGTCATTTTGAGGACTGGATATTATTATTATTATTATTATTATTATTATTATTATTATTTTTGGTACTGGGAATCAAACTCGGGTCCTTGCGCTTTCAAGGTAGGTGGCCGAACCACTAAGCTAAATCTCCAGCCCTGGATATTATTATTAACACAAATCCTGATACAGAACCAACAGTCAGCAGATAGCAGCTGTCATTATTTCTGGGAGGACATCTGCAGGTACCACACACTCTGTTCTCTGGGAACGATGCAAGGTGACAGTGCCAACTCCTACTGCAATTGTCGGCTGAATTCTGGATTGTTTACTGGGTGTGATGGCGCACGTCTGTAATCCCAGCACTGGAGAGGCTGAGGC